TAATCGATTCAGTTTATTATTCTCTTCATAAAAATACTGAATCATTTATTGCGAAAAATCATTGGTTTAGAAAATATTTTAATTTTAGTAATGCATAGTGTTAGCATTCACCCATCTAAAATTAGTGTACAAAAATACGACCTTCAAACCTGAATGCTAAGATTTACTCTTGTCTCTAAAAAAAATGGTTTCTCGCGCGTCAACACGAGCTTTATCGTATTTTCCGCTTGAGGAGCGTTGGACCTCATTGGTTCTAAATATTTTTCCTCAGTCAACGCGCGCGCGCGTACGCTTCTGAATTCCAACGCTTTATTTATGCGCATTTACGAAATGCGACTCTCGTTTTCGGATACCGCTTCGATATTTATAATTTCGCGAATTTCATCGTTAATCGTAAACGTAATTTTCGCGAGCTTGTGTATGGTACCGTCGGCCACTATTCTTAATTCGGCAGTACACAGCGCATGCGAAAATATTAGTGTCACTTTCGCGCATCTCACGCGTGCTTCCTTTCTTTTCCATTTCTAATATAATTTATAGAGCCATTGAAATGGTCTTTATCAATTCTATTTCCTATAAATGAATTCAGAAAAATTTGTCCTTATGTAAGAATCCACAATTCCAAATGAGAGAAGCTCTCAAATAACGTATCTGATGACACTTTCTGAGCAGCTACTACAGTTATCAATCACCAATCATATGTTCTGTGTTTCGAGAAGAAGGCTCAGCGTGTTTACATCCTCACGTCTGCAGCGGTTCGTTGTCTCTCCTATGATCACAGGCAGTAATCGCTATTAGCCCAAGACAAGTAATTACATCAAGTAATTAATTGTGGGTCTTTATACAAAGACAAATTTTTCTGAATTCATTTATAGGAAATAGAATTATGTTAGAAATGTTAGAAATGTTAGAATTATGTTGGAAAAGAAAGGAAGCATTACATCCTAAGTCTGTCAAAAGACTCATCAATAAGGCTATCTAGTAGTCGTGGCTTTAACCGAAGAGATTAATTAGATACAAACGTTTAGCATTTGCGAACGAATATGTAAAATGGAAATTTAAGTGAATCAAAATTGAACGTATTTTAATTCGATGGTAAACAAAATCGTATGCCGCAAGAAAATTACTAATTTCGATAAAGCAAATCTCTAACCGACGGTGAAACACGAGGTTGGACATACAAGGCTGTGGAGTTGTTTCTCCGTTGCTAATGTTGGAAATCTCTGTATCATCGATGGTATCGCGAAAAAATATAAATGTATTGATATTTCAAAGTTTTCATTTCTATCATTTTCTACCAAAATAATAATCTCGAGCACAAAGCTCACATTACACGAGAGTGGCTACTCTACAACTGTCCTAAATAGTGGAAATTCTCCCACAAAGTACACACATAAATCCCATTGAGATTTTGTGGTCAGAATTAAAAACTAGGATTCGTAAATATGAAATAGCTAATGCATACCAGTTCAAAGAAAAATTATTTTTGGAATGGGAAAATATGACAGCGGGCGAATTTAACTAAGAAAAAAAGTAGCATGGAAATAAAGCAACTTTAAAACTTATTTGAACTTTAATGTCAATATTCAAGAAGACGGGTCATTTTTCCCATGGTTCCTTTGAGACTACTGTCCCTCCTGGCGAATATTATACGATGCAGTAATTAAAAAATTTTTGACCGTGATAATCATGCTGAAAGTCAAAGCTATATGATCACGCTGTAATGGGAATGACATATAATTTTCTAACACCCTGTAATTAAACAATACAACACACGTATAACTTTTGAACCAATGAATTTCTAACTTTAAAATTTGCATATTTGGAATTTTCTCGTAAAAATCTATGGGATTATACAAACAGATGTCGAAAATTTTTGGTCCCCTAAAAAATCCGGTATTTTCAAAATACAAAGACTGTTATACGTATAGTTAAAAAGTTTTACAAAAACTTTTATTTAATGTAGATAGTTTATATTCAGTATATTGTTATTTAATATACGCGCTGGGTGTGATAGCGAAATGGAACAAATACAATGATTCAACAAATGATTCTACAAGCAAATGAAAACCGAGAAATATTTTTATTTAGAATGTAACGAAATCAAAAAAAGAAATTAAATTTAAAATTTACGTTTGGTAAATCTTAGTGATTTCCTCGAAAATGAAGTCTTTTTTTATTTTTAACTGTATAGTAATCATCTGACTAGATACCATTTGTCCCATGTCAATGTTTAAAATAACGACGTAAAACACTTTAGTAAATTACAAAACAGTATTTTCAAAAGCAAAGTAATCTACTATTAAAACATATGAAACAATCTTCTATTTATTTAGTAGCATTAGAGTGGGAAATTAAATAGTTCATGCTGGTAATGATACTTGCCAA